CCGAGTATCTCGTAAAGCTGTCAAGGAATTACGCACAATACGCCGCTTACTTCACTTGGAAGAAGCGCTACGATGTCTATATATGGCCTGGGGGATTCTGCGAACTCTGTAAAAAGCTCCACAATAGCGTCGATCGTCAAGAGACGCTGTACGAAGATGTAAGAACCTGGTGGTTTGGAGAAGGACGATGCAGAAGTTGGCGTCTTGTGCGATTGGCACCTTCCACAAGAGCTCCCGATTTTGTTCACAGAGGATGGCTGCAGAGGGCAAGCACGAACAACACGCCTAATCCCAGCACCATCACGAGGGATCTGCCGGCGTAGAATTGTCACATTAGAAATCATTGTGTAGTCGGCTAGATGCTTATGCTCGTATCCGAAAGAAATGTTGCGAGAGTGCATAGCGCAATCAATTTACTGTTTGACTTTGGGCTGCGTACATTCTTTTGTTAATTTGTACAGTTTTCACAGAACAAAGCAGTCACAAATTGTTAAGTATAAGCTAGGACACTGTGGATTAAGATTAAATGAAATGGCTGATTCCTTATCACGAGCCGCGCTTGATGGCCCAATTTTATCCTCACTGCCAGAAGTTGAATATATTACAGCAATAACATATCGAAAATCAGCAATTTGCACTGATAAGATAGAAAAAGTAACTACATGGACAGAATATAACAACCTCATGTTTCCATGGCGACCCCACTGGAGTCAGTCGAGAAAGCTCGAAGTTTTAATTACTAAATTTCGATGTCGTGTTCCCCCCCCCCCCCCTAAACCTGTATCTACGCAGAGCTGGTCAGACGATATCACCTCTCTGCGCATTCTGCGGAGAAACAGAATCAATTGAACATTATTTTTTGTATTGTCGCCAATACGCTATACTTAGAAAAATACTTCTAGTTACTCCATTTCTGAAAACAGGCGTTACATTGACGGCGGAAACTGCACTAAACTTTCGTGCCTCAGTTTTGGGACATTGCCACAACGATGCTTTCAATGCCGTTTGCGATTATATTCAGGCATTCAAACGGATCTCATTGTGATCTTCAATCAAATAGTTATATTTAGTATTAAATGTCAAATTTTCTCATATTGACTTTTCCATTTTTTTTCGTTTGCTCCATTTTATGTGGTTTTTCTTATATTAATCATATTATAATACAAATTCTTTTTAACACATACTTATAATACTCACAGAAAACAATACTTCTTGGCCAATCCCCCTGAGTGGGTGTGAGCCATGAGTCCAGGGAAACAAACAAACAAACGAGACATGCTATACGGGTTGGCTGTTCTATTTGTCTTTTCGTCTTCCTCTGCTGCGCTGGCTATAAGCCTATAGCGCGTGCCAGCGTCCGAGCGGTGCCGTCATCCTTATATATGGAACATTAGGGCGATGGCAAAAACCCGCCCAGAGAGTTTTTGTGCTTGCTTTCGCAATAACAGACAACTTTCCAGGTCATCGCCTTATTTCGCGTCCGATCGTCAGTATACCTTTCGAATGTGCAAAAATATTTTGTGCAGCGCAATTGAGCATCTGCGAGAGCGGTAAACGTTCCTGTGGCATTTGACAAAATAAAGCATCGTTAAAGCACTCCGTATATATGTACTGATTTGCATTAACCACCGGCTTCTTGGTCGATCCCCCTTAGCAGGTGAGAGCCACAAAAGATAAAATCAAGCAGGCAAGCAAGATGGTTAACAGTTGAGAAGCTGAAACGTGCTTCCATAGGCGGTTGCAGACGTTGCGGCTGAAGCCAGAGTGCCGCTCGAGAAATTCCTGCCGAAAGCGGGCGTTGGCCCCGACGACAAAGGCCGTGCCCACGTTTGACGCTGCTCTGCCAGCAACATCGCTTCCTCTGCTCGCCTCTGTCGCTTGTGTTCGGCTCGGTGGCTGCTGGATCCCGGATTCTGCGAGCTTTTTTACAAACAGGCGCAATAGTGCGGAACTTCAGTAGACTTCGTCGGATATATATATATATATATATATATATATATATATATATATATATATATATATATATATATATATATATATATATATATATACATCGGATACAACGTACTCTTTCCCCACGTGAATGAAAGAAGAGGCGTTGGCGCCTTAAGTATAGTCGCAATTGGCTACAGTGGCCAAGTAGCAATATGACTAATCAAAGTGCTTACGACACACCCATGATATATCGTAGAGTTTAAGAAAGATATTGGGGAGGTTTAGAACAACATTCGCAGGCGTTGCGGGCAACATACGAGTTTTAAGTATAGTGTTTGCTCCCCACCAGGGAAAACTCTAGGAACGTTAATTCGCCCCGACCGCAAACCCAAATGCACGGAAGCTACACACAGCACTTTGCGGGTCTCGTGGGCCGCGATTGCCGCACGATATTTCGGAATTTCTACGGGCGGGCCGCAAACGCGAACGGTGACTCGCGTTACGACGCCTGCGCAGTGGCAAAGACCGCACCGCAAGGGCTCGCGGTGCGCTATTCTATACCTCCCCATTTTGAGAAGACTTTCCCGTGATATGTGTTCGTCCAATGCCTCCTAGAAAAAGTGTGCCTGATACGTGAGCCTCGAACGTGCCGCCCTACCCTCGGACTTTACCCTCCCCCTCCAGTACGAAGGCGAACGCCTCCTGCGAACACAGCAATGCTCTTACAGTTGCCTCCGAGCAGCTGTGATGTCACGTGACAGAATGGTACGGCTGTCACTTGACCTAGCGGTCAGGGAGCGACGTTTCAGGCAGTTTTTCTAGGAGGCAGTAAAACTCAACCCACTCCCTCTGTTGCCTTGAGCAGAGCTCTCCCAGCTGCATAGCGACGGTTGCTATAGAAGTGAGTGGAAGGTTGGTTGCATGGTCGTAGCTGCTGCTGCTTGTAAAGGATGGAGACCAGCGCCTTTCGATATGTTGCAACAATTCGACTTTACGTACAGGAACTTCTGTGCAAATTTACAAGACTTCACCGTTGGAACCGTCACGAGTTGCCTCGGCAGAGCCGATAGTGCAGAGCACTCTTCGCTGCGACCAGAACGACCGTGAGGAAACGGGAGCCAGCTTTTAACCCCTTGGTTGCCCCTCCCGATTCTCCTCACGGCCAACCAAAACATTTCAGTCCGTTCATTGGACATACTAAACACACTTGTTGCCATCCTCTCCTCTCGCTCTCTTATTCAAGCACTTGACATCCCGGTCTGAGAGAGAGAGACGAAAGGACCGGCCTACACAAGACGTTCCGCGAACTGTGCGAACGCACACGATGGTGGCGCCGTTCGGCTGCGGGCCCATGCCATTACTGCGAGATGACTACGCTGTCACGCTGGACTCTAATCCAGATGGATGGGTGTCTATACACCGGATGTCCTCACGTCGCCTGCCGGCACTTCGCTGGTTGACTCGCTCGCTGAATTCCGTGCCGACCGGTTGTGCCCTCGTGATCTCAGACGACAGCGTAGCTCTGGCCGACTGGGTTGGTCCTACGCCACCTCCTGTCGCCGGTCCCCTACGACGACGACAGCGTAGCTCTGGCCGACTGGAGCCCTATGTCATCTCCTGTCGCCGACAAGAGCTCTCGCCAGTGGTGCTCCGTCCTCGGACGTCTGGAACAGTGTCCTTCTGTCCTGTCTTCTCCTTACTTCCGTCGCTCCCTGTCCCACTGCCTCGCTCTCTCCTTCCCCCCCCCCCTCTCTCTATCTCTCTACCTTTTAAGCCTATCCTTTTATTCTCTTCTCTATCCCCATCCCTCGTGAGCTACTGTTGAGCTGTCCTCCCCCTGAGAGACAGTTACGGGGCTCCCTTTTCTCTTTTCTTTTATAATTCAATCTCCCCCCTCCACCCTTGCTGGCCGGGTACCACTTAGCTGGTTGTTAAAGGCGGCGACCGACCGCGGTCCTCTACCAGAACGAGCGTCCTTACGCCGGGATTATCGTCCCCCGATAATCGGCTCTTTGGGGAACGCACCCTTTCGCGACAAAGAAGACTCACCCACCTGGCCAGCGACGCCAGACCTTACAGAGGCGTTGGTTCGTCTATCTCTCTATAGGTTTATAATGCATCACCAGATATGTCGGAGCCTGAACTCTACCTTACGAACATGTAGGCCTATGAAGCATACAGAGACTCGAGCATCATGCCTTCCTAGAGTCGCCAGGCAGTAACGACTGAAATGAGCAATATGGCGCAATGCTTAAGCAATTCCAACGAAGTTTCCGTGTCAGCTTTTTTTTTTTTATTGCGATACAGACTCGAGTTGCAGGTGGGCTGAGGATCCCAAGCAACTGCACCGCCCGATATTTTACAACGTAACGAAATGTAAGATGTGCCGGTTAACAATTCACCGTTTCCGCTTACCTGCCAGAATTTCGCCCCGAAGCGAGAACCAATGACACCAGTTTGGACACTTGCTAAAATTTACCAATTGCTCCTCACGCGCCATCTTAAGTGCAACACAATTTATTTAAACAAGCCTGTCGTAGATCATGGCAGAGGAAATCTACAGCCGTAAATTCAACATTGCAAGTCTGGCGCTTAAAAAAAAAGATAGGAGGGGACCCTCGAGCTTTGCTTTTAAGAGTTGAACGCGATAGCAATATCCTGTTCCTATTGCGTACCGATTACAAAATAGCTTGTGTTAGTGACGCTTACACATACGGCTGCTTGGGTAGCATTCTTTCAACCACGGGATTCTGTGCGCGTGAAACCTTTTCGAGCTTGCTATGCACCCACTACGTGGCCTTAAGAGAAAAGGTGCAATAAAGCATGTGCCTTTTGTAGTAGGTGCCCCTCTTTAAACAATGAATTCATGATAATCGCATTTTGTGACGGCCGATCGCAAGGTACAGCCATCAGCACCTATACCTCGAATGCTCCGACGCATGGCCAGGGAGCAGTATATATGCTCGCTTGTACTCTAAATTGCGAAAACAGTTCAATCAATGGAGTCTGGAAATTAATGAAGCAGAACATTAACAACGCCAACGCATCTAAGATTTATTTTTTTTCGCAACCTTTGCAAACGCCATGAATATGCGTTTGCTCCGATTTTTATTCATTTACCTTCATTTGAGCAACAGCTGCGTATTCAAACGTGGCCAAAACAGGATACCAAGTGAGTGCATTCGACCCACCGGTCAGGCAGACTGGAAACAACTTGCTAGTGAAACCAACACTCGCTCCACCTATCGTCAACTGCAGCAAAGATGCCATTTTCAACGCTTCGCGGCGCTGACCTCGGCCCCAGCGAGCAGAGTCCACGCGTCGGTGCTGATGGCTGTACGCTTGTATATACCACGCATTATTAGTGATAATACACGTTGCACTTTCAAGCATGTATATACAGGACGAGTGTTTTTGTAAAGCATGCAAGTCACTTTCACTGCATTTCAAAGCAGAGAAAAAATATATTCACCGTTTCCAAGCGTACGCGGCTTTGGGGTACAACACACGCTCGCCACGTAAACGATCCGTGTTCGAACCTCACTCAGACCCAGAATTTTTTATTTGTTTCGTTTGCATATTTCAATTTTTCGGTCACGCACAAGATGACTTTCCGCTTACAACCAACGACGCCACCGCCGAAATTTCTGTGAAACAAGCTCTTTAGCACTATCTTTAAAATCACTCGACAAGTAGGTGTGTTTATTATGCATAGTATAGCCGTGCACGCCATCCAGTGTGTTGTAAACACTACATATTGCGCAATGCATGCATACCGCTGAAACATTGCATTCTGAAAAGTTACCAAACAAACTTTACCGACTATCACACGCTGCACCAAGTCCGCGAACACATACACAAACGAAAAAAAAAAGAAAAATGTAAAATTTGACGTCATAAAGTAAAATCAGCTCTAAAGCTTTCAAACGGCCATTCGTTTCTGCAGGCTTATCGGGGTAATCTAAAATCAATGCGCGAACGTCAAAGATAAATAGCGTTCCTTGTAGGACGAAAATTTTTGGAAGCACTCATATTTACTAGCTGCATGGTTTCTATATTACATCACAAATTAAGTCCTACGCAGTTTGTCTAAAAAACGTATAAAGTAAGAAGTTACTTAATATATCACATTTTTTTGCTAGTCCTTTGTGCTAGTAACTAATTTTTTTTAAAACATGCGTGCGTTCACGAGGATAATAGGACAGCGTATTACGCCTTGAATAAAGACCCAAGTGTTTCAACGCACGATCGATCTCATGTTGCACCGACACTAAACATGCGTTAAGATAAAACATGCCGACGCCTCAGAAAAGCACCAATGGGTAACCAGACACGTATAAGGTCTCCAGGGTGCGTAGTCAGATTTATAGTGAAGCTGGAAAAGAAGACGGCTAGTGGCTTAAGTAACCGCGATTTGAAAAAAAAAATGAAAAAAAAAAACTAGCTCGAAGCTAGTCATTGGATTTCGCTGTCCGAGGCCAAACTGGGAAATGATTTTCCGGGTCAGAACAGTTCGGCGAAAAGCAGGGGATCTTGAATAGAAACGAGAAATCCGGTAGTTTGACTGTCAGCTGCCTGGATGTTGTACTTGGCCCCGAGGTCGCTGTTGAGGAAAGGAACAGAAAGGGAACAAATTATTGCAGCAGCCTTTTTTTCACGCGCAACTTCATCGCACGCAGCCCTGATTGGTTGATTGATATGCGGGGTTTAACGTCCCAAATCTACCATATGATTATGAAAGACGTCGTAGTGGAGGGCTCCGGAAATTTCGACCACCTGGGGTTCTTTAACGTGCACCCAAATCTGAGCACGCGGGCCTACAACATTTCCGCCTCCATCGGAAATGCAGCCGCCGCAGCCGGGATTCGATCCCGCGACCTGCGGGTCAGCAGCCGAGTACCTTAGCCACTAGATTACCGCGGTGGGGCCGGCACGCAGCCCTAAGGATGTGCCAAGTGCGCGTGAGGTTTAGCTCTTCATCGCTTTTGTGGGTAACTGCAACAGTCAAACAAAAAAGAAAAATGGTTGATCCCTCTTTTCGTAGAAATCGTTCATAAAGCGCAAGAGAAACTATGCGCGGTAGAATAAAACTGACCGTCATTTTCTCTTCTAATACCGCATTTACTCGAATCGAATCACTTTTTTCTGCGGCTCTTGTTACCTAAAATCGACCGTCACGTTATAGCCCAATGCTGAAATACCCCAATTTTTTTCTTTTTTTTTTCTTCCTAGACGGAATGAAAAGTCACCCCTCGCGTAAGAATAGCGGCCGCCTCACAATCGAGTGAACACTGTAATGATCTTGTGATGGCGAGATTAACAATACAGTTCTGAAGGAATAATTTATCTGTCTAGACTTCGTTAATATTTTTTAGTGCCCCGTTTAACTTTCTTAAGTACCAATGCTGATTTTGTGATCCACTTAATACTGTAAGAACTAATAACAAAAAAAGTTTCCGATGATCGCGACCAGGGGCTGAGAATCTCGAAATAGTAACAACTTACTTCTCGTATGCGTTTCCCTTGTCTTCTCTTGGGGGACACCGTTTTGTTCGGCCCTGAAAAAGCCACCATTAAGTGTCACCATTTAATACCATAATCGTAAAAAGGAATAACAAATTAGGTTTTTTTTTCACTCCCCAAACCACGATATAATGAGAGACTGCGTAATTACCGAAAAATCGCAAGGGGGACAAGCATTTTAGTAACGGAAAAGAAAGTTATTTCTAATTCTATAAATGGGAGAAATTCTGCGAAATATGACTGAAAAAATAAATAGCTTGAACAGCGGCACTGAATGTAGGGGAGTTCTATGAAACAAACCACGGCGTATAAGCGCGGGGTTCTCGACCTTCTTGTATTTTGCCCACTCACTTTTTAGTCGACTTCGTGGACGCGCCTTTCTTAGTTGTCAGCCAATCCCAGGACTTGCGATCGCTCGGTGTTATCTTGGTGCTGTCATTCCACCCTTCAACTCCTGGGGGCATCGGAGCGGCCCTGCATTTGGCATGCCTGTCCACATGCAGGTGGTCAGTACTGCGGCTGTCTTGAAACTGCGCGTCAGCCAGAAGAAAGAAAAAGCGATTAGAAGCTCTTCCCTTATCGGAAAATAAGGAGTGATCGAAACTTAGCGTGTACGCGCTTTATCCACCAGGCACGTAGCCAGAGATTTTTTCGCGAGGGGCGCCTCCTTGATTTCGGGGAGGGCACCCCCATTGAAATGGTCATTTTCCGCTCTCTGTCATGGCGGAAAAAAATTCGGAGGGGGGGCATGGACTGTGTACCACCGCCTGGCTACGCCCCTGCAGTGTTACCCACCGATAACACATTCTATATCCATCACATCACATTCATTGATATTACGGCTCGCTTGCTCTTGCAGATGCCAGAACCACGGTACGCAACCTTGCCCTCATGCTGATCCGAAGGAACCGCATGGGTGCACAAGTTGTTTAGCACTGATCTTCTGTGCACCAAGTCACTTCAATGGCAAAGCGGTTTGTGCAGATTTTTTTTTATTTGCCGAGCTCTCACTGCTTTGAGCCTGCCAGTGCCGCAATGTACAGTGTTGGGACTTTTTTTCGCAGCGGTCTCCGTTATTGGCAAACGACTGCATCCACACCTTCCAGTTAGTACGCCATCGAAGTGACTTGTGTGCACAGAAGATCGACGCGACACAAATTGCAAACACCTCTGGTCATACGAAAACCTCGATGATGACGGATCTGACAGGGAACAAACTTTTTGCCGATGCTCGTTTCTTCGATGCAGGAAGAAATGTTCATATGCCAAAGCTTTTTTCAGAGAACTGCTAATAATACCATCTATTCAGCCGTTATGTTACGATGTACACTTTGTAGTGATGTTCACAGTTTTCGCCTCGCCCCGGCTTGTCTCAACTTCAAATGGACTGCGCATAAATAAAAAACAAAACACCAACGTCGAGGTAGTGTTAACGTTGGGGTGAATTCACCGAAGTGGTCAGGTGGGTGAAATGGATCGTCTGGAAAAAACAAGAAAAAAGTCCCAATCGTTTGCTTACTTTTGGTCACGTGGTGCTTGAAACGTCATCTACAACCGATTTACATTCGATTTGATATGTGGGCTTTAACGTCCCAAAACCACCATATGATTATGAGAGACGCTTTAGTGGAGGGCTCCGGAAATTTCGACCACTTGGGGTTCTTTAACGTGCTCCCAAATCTGAGCACATGCGTCTACAACATTTCCGCCTCCGCCGGAAATGCAGCCGCCGTAGCCAGGATTCGATCCCGCGACCTGCGGGTCAGCAGCCGAGTACCTTAGCCACTAGACCACCACGGCGGGGCATGCATAATAATTCGTACTCGGACACACGCTCGCTTAAAAGACACGTGTGGACACGTCGTATGCCGCAGATCATCTGCAGCCATTCATACTTCTTGCATCCGAGTACGAAAAAGGAAGACAAATCTAATCTATCATTTAAACACAATATAGTATGTTTAAATGATAATTTTGTCAACATTTTTTGTAGTTACACTGCAAGCGACGTCTCTTACATTTCTACCAACGTGATTGGTTACACTTACAATTCTGTAGCAGCTCGTTGTGCTGAGTGCCTGTAGAGATAGCTTGCGTTCCATGCGACGGGCACAAGGTTTGGCTGCACAGTGAAAGAGAATAAAAAGCCGACACTGCCAACGTGATTTCGAACGTTTCGAAGAAACAAGAATGATACGTGGCCTTCTGGGTATTTCATTGCTCAATGTGAACGCCTCATTTTTTTAAAATATTTTTAAGATGTTAATTTACCGCGTTCGCTGCATGGGGACTTGATATCCACACGCAGTTCCCTCACTGACACGCGATCATCGCGTTAACGAAAATTTGGCAGTTTATTCAAGGTACTTTGCCTTCGTAGGTGTCCGCTTTATTTTCTGGGTCAGATTTGACTTTATCGTTCCATAAGAAATGAAAAGACTTATGCCACTATAATTGTTATTGAAAATGAAACTTCGCTGGCTTAGAAATAAATTACGTGCTGTGAAATGAACACTTGAAAGCTCTGTGAGCTCTTTATGGCGGAGCTTCGGCGTCGTCTGCGGTGCATCGACGCGCTTTTGTTTGCTGCGTACAACGAAACGGCCAAGTTTCACATGTTCATCCCTGAAGTGTACATCTTTAGATTGCCACAAAGAAGGGCCGGCGTAAATTTGATGAGAAATATTCATCCGCAACGAGCACCCGAACAAAACGTGAACTTTTGTGCGCTTGCTGCAACCCATCCACTTGTATCACGTGCTCGCACCTTGTGTTTAATAGACAGGAGTCGTACGTTTAGACACCCGCGAGCTTCCGTTTCCTGTACATGACGCGCAGAACATGAGCCGAAGGTATCGCATTGTGTTTGGCAGGGCAGCGATCGCAAGATTTCGCAGGGATCTATTCTATGTTAATAAGGGTGAGGGGAGGGGGGGGTGTAAGTTCAACGCAGCCTCGAGAAAGTCGTGCTACGAGAAACGAAATGGCCTAACTCCCAGAATTCTTTCCAACGCGAGGTGAAAAAAAGTAACGCTCAGGTCTATAGGCTGGACTTACAGTTGAAGTTTATCAAAAGACTGCAGATTCTATAGTTAATATTGATTGATTTGTGGGGTTTTAACGTCCCGAAACCACTATTTGATTATGAGAGACGCCGTAGTGCAGGGCTCCAGAAATTTTGACCACCTGGGGTTCTTTAACGTGCACCCAAATCTGAGCACATGGGCCTACAACATTTCCGCCTCCATCGGAAATGCAGCCGCCACAGCCGGGATTTGATCCCGCGACCTGCGGGTCAGCAGCCGAGTACCTTAGCCACTAGACCACCGGGGCGGGGCTGAACGTATTAATATGTTCACATCGTTTTGCTGCTGGATCTTTACGCATGTGTTGCGATGTGCTATAGGGAATAGTCTTAATAAACAGCAGTTGTGAGTCCAGCCTTGCCCTATGCGTTATTTTCTTCTTAATTGTGCTCCCGTTTGAAACTTTCTGCAACCTTTCATTTCACGTGATGTACCAATCGACGGACAAAACCACACTGGTAAACGGTTTATACGAACACTCCTGTGAGCCCGAAATCGGACATGCATCGATAGTTTCGAAACCAATCGAAGACAATGCAACTGAACAACAGAAGCGTCGGTGCTCATGCACGAAAACGCTTCTCGAAAAATTGCATCGCGCAACATCCATGCCTGTGAGCCACGGACAGCCAGATAAGGGCAGGAATTTCGTATAGGTACGCCATGTTGCCAGCGCTGCTGCGAAAGAGACGGTCAGCGTGGAAAGCGCATGTCCACCTTGGGGCTTTTTCATTCGCCGAACTGTTTATCCCCTTAATATAACGTCACTTCTGCCACACTTTTAGTAATTAGTATATTTATGGGGCACTTTCCCCGTTCTACACGTTTCCGATATATCACATTCTATATCGCAGTGGGTGGCTCCGCGTCACGTTGACATTCTTGAGGGGGTGTGCGAATATTTGAATTTTTTTTTGAATACTTCCAAGGCAAAAAAAAAGAATCGTCGAATAATGAGTATGTGTGTATCGTTAAAAGTTGAAATATTTGATGTAACGCCATTTGATTACGCTTCAGCACATTGAAGGCACTTCAAGTAATGCGCTCATTACAAGTTATCCCGCCGAAAAAAATAATGACTACCTCACAGTCACGTGCTTGCAAGTATATACGTACTCTGTTACGCGGAACATGCCCTATCATATCTCTTACGACGGAGGTGGCAGAATCGCGGTGAAAAACCGGGTACCCCGTAATTGTGAACCCTGCATGCGCGCGCCTATACGGCAGTCGAACCTACGACCTCGCGCTTGGCGACAGAGTAGAGTTGCCCAACGGTGACCCGACCTCGAGAAAATGCCGTATATAACACCCCTGTAGTATATATAGTGGGTGGCATGATCATGCAGAGGACACAAAAAGAAGTGCACGCCCTCTCCGTAGGTTGGCTCTAAATTTATCCCTTCCGGTGGTCCTTTCCTTCGGAGCAACTGAAAAGTGATTTACCCACAGGAACGTTTGTGAGGCCGTATGCGATTTCCTATAAAGTCAACAAGACGATTAGACTGTTAAGCTGAGGCGTAAATTCACTTTATTTCAAACCATATTAGCCCATTCGTTCTTTGTAGTGCCTATTTTATTTCTAATCTATCGTTTACCAATTGGTTTTTTGTTTAAACATTGTTATCTAAATAATCCGGCTGGTAGAACACCTCACAAATGAGGCACCGTCCGTTTCATGGCCGATCCCCCGTGGTGGGTTGCGCCAGGACTCTTGAGGAACAACCAACCAACCAACGCCCAAGCGACGCGTCTGGCAAGAGTGCTGCTGCTCTACGCCTACGTCCAATAAACCTTCTCAAGGGACGTGACAATATCACAGGGAGACGACGTGGCGACATAGAGAACCGTCACTTACCGTCTCTGTTGGTTGCACTGCTGCGGGTCAGTTTGCTTGTCGAAGCCGCTTTACCGTTCATGGTGGCTGCGGGGTTCTGCTGGTGGTCTGCTCGCCGTGGAGGTAAACTTGCTCCTGTGCAAGAAAGAACTCAGAACTGTGACGATGAAGCAGCCAGACGCAATGGCTGCCAACGCACGAGTGGTGCCGAATCTACTCGGCCTGGATTGGATGCGCTGTGGCACACGCACGCTTGCCGAATCAAGTCACGTGACCAATATACCAAAGTTAAAGGGTTCGTGAAACGCTCGCTCTAAAGCGACAAAGCGAAGCCACCGGCGTTTACACGCACTAACTAGGTGACGTCATCATAAGTAATTCTTTGCCTATCGAGGAACGCGGAACTTTTCGATACTTGCGAGTGCGTGCAGCTGCATGGGACGCTCATCAGCGTCTTTTTCATACGCAATCAGCGCTAACTTGAACTCTGACGTCATATTAAGCAGCGTCCTTGTGAGACGCGGATCGCGTATGGCAGACGCCGATGAGCGCCTCTTGCGCGTGCTCAACATGCCATAGAGTTCCGCATTCCACGATAGGCAAAGCTTCTATGCAGGTCCACTCGGACTGATGATATAGTTAGCGCACGTGGCTGCCGTTGGTGCCGCATTGTCGTTGTAAAGCGACCATTTCACGACCCTTTTGGGATTACCCGTAGCTGTCCATCGATCAGGTTCAAGCGATAACAACAGTGGCTAAAGTCTGAATAAGGAGAGATAGGACATTTTTTGTGTTATCTTTTTTCGTGTTATGTGCCAAAGTGAACTAGAAATTTATTTCACGATTTTTCTGACGCTTGGCTAAAAAACGCCAGGCCTTCGCGGAACGTGCAGCACTGTCACAGCGAAAGCTTGAAAAGCGGCCTTTCAGAACCTTTTCTTAACACTCTTTGAGTAACTGCTACAGGCATGCACACTTGCTGGGTACCCAGTATGCCATAAAGTAAACATGATTTTTGTGTAGCAAGTGCGTAGCGTGGTATCCGCTACACACTTGCCAATATTTTTATGCTGTGCCTTACGACGATGAAGAGTTATACCTGAAGCGGGCATGCGTCCCAGCTAATAGGTGAACAAGAACAAGCTTTTGTAAAGGGTTCGACGATCGCACGACCCACCCTTTATACGCAATTCGCATTGCGTGACGCCTAGTTGCTCCTTAGATGTTCTAAAACGCTTATTACTCATATTAGTGCTATTCCTTTCCCGACGTCAAGCCTTCCTAAGGCCAGTTATAAAACGAGGTACAAGCACCGGAGTGGCTGAGTGGTACAATACTGGGCTAGCGCGAAGCGGACCCCGGCTTTAGTACCACTTTGTCTATGGTGTTTTTTTTTGTTTACTGGTTTTTCTTATTTCTTCCTTATTTATTGCCATGGTTACGGGTGGCGGCGCACAACTACTACGCTGCACGTGACCCGTGTTCTGATCTCATGACAGCTTTTGCTGTAATATTTGATTGTCTCATTTTTTTAATTCTGATTCTCACCGCTGTACATTGGGGGCGTACGTAGGCAGTCTGCTAGTGTTTAGTTCGCCGCATTGTCGGGCCAACGAGGCATCGCTCACTTTCACCCAATGGATTCATGCTTATATGTTGCTCACTGACGCGACGCTTCAAAGCTTAGCTAGCTCAGAGAACGTATATACTGTGACCGCAGGTTTTCGCTGTCCCAGGGCCGGCCTGCCCTTGCCTTTCGTGATGGCGAACGCGGCTCGCTAAGCGAGGAAACGCTGTGCTCAAAGGCTGCCCAAGTGACATTGTCAAGCCTGCTGCCTCGCTACCGTGGGTACGATTGGGCAACGTGAGTTATACGCTCGAAGTTACGCTCCCAGTTTATACGTGCTGTACCTTGGCGCTACCACAGAAACGTTGCTTAGCCGACTGACTTTTTGTCTATTGCCACGCTTGTCTACTTCACTTCTGCTGTATTTGGTTTTCGCCAACAAAGACTGCAAGTATAATGCCGAGCACAAGCAGCCCCCGGCAGTGTTTTAAAAGCTTCGGGGCTGTTTAGTAGATGACTTTGTTAAGATTGCGCGCATGACGCGAATGCTCGATCGAGCTTATTCCAGAACTTTCGCATTGATGAAATGCTGGAAAGTTCGATGATATGAAAAAGGGCGCGCTCTAACGATGATCAGTTGATGGACGGCCGACTCTCTGTTGGCCGCTATCAGTGCCGCTGCGTATCGCTCTAATCTGACTTTCCGCTTATCGACCACAAGTTCAACCAAATCAAGTTTCATCCTGGACATCGTCTGCTGCCTTCCGGAAGGTCACGACCGTGTTACACCATGAGAGTCTCGAGCAACGCAGTAGTTGACAGAGCACCAAAGTAAAACATTATTCTGTTCAAGGGGATAAACCATGCATTATATTTGTGTAAGTTTAACGTCCCACAATCACGATTTGAGTGAGAGATGCTGTAGTGGTGGGCTCGGGAAATTTATACCACCTGGGTCTCTTGAACATGTACCTTAATCTAAGCACACGGGCCTCAAACATTTTCGCCTTCATCGAAATTGCAACCACCGCAGCCTAGATTTGATCTTGCTCCTTACTCTGCCAGCGAGCGACTTATGTTTCTAATCAGTGCACCGGTAGCAACCGGTAAATCTTCCACGCGCATTTACTTCTGACCCAGCACAATGTTCACCGATAAAAAGTATGTCAATTGTGATCAATGGCCTGTGACTTGTTGCGAAAGACTGTTTGCATTCCACACATACGTTTACGATAAATGAGCGCGCGGCGTACGATAAGACATCTAGGTCAACTTTATCAATTTACGTGCTTGCTTAGAAATATTGCAATTCGTATGAACAAACTAACGGGAAATTTAGGCACGGACGACTTTCTGCATGTACTGAATGCTTCTAATGAATTATGCACAATGCGCCGTAAATCTTCCAAGATTTTTCTCGAAACGACAGGAAAATGCATGCTTATTCACAGCGTGTGCTAAGAAAAGTTGTATGCGGGCGTTATGCAGGCGCCAAAAGTATCTGACAACGCTTTGTCATTGTCCTGCACGTTGGTTCAGCGGTTGCGATGCATTGCTGTAGAACCAAAGTCGCGGGATCTCTTTCGGCAGCGAAGGTCTTATTTCGGTAGAGACGAAATTCTTGAGACCCGTCTACTGTGGGATGATGGCGCACATTAAAGAGGATGGTTGAAATTTCCGGAGCCTACGGCGTCACTTATAATCATATCGTGGTTTTGGGACGCAAAGTCTGAGACATCATTGTTATTATTATTAACAAAAACACTAACAGCAATGACAATAATAAGTAGAAAAAGAAGATGAGTAAATAATATATCTTTGGGTGTCATGATCACGTTACGATTATGAAGAACGCCGGAGTGGGGGCACTGCGGAATACTTTCGACCACCTGGGGTTTTCTCATGACGTGCCACTGTGTTTCACAGATCGCAAATTCTCGTATTACGTACAGACTGTAAACAGATGTATGGTGGTTGCTGTTTATTCCGTCTAATTCGTCATTGCACTATAATAAACGTTATACATAATTGTGGCCTTCGATTACTCAGCAAGCAATAAACGAAAGGAATACAATTTTAAGGGCTCGCTTTTCTTTGTGAGACACGACATTTATTAGAAGTAAGTTTTGTGTTAGTTTTCACAAACATCCAGCAAGCGCTGGGACTGCGCTAGAAATCCGCAAGGTGCTAAATCCGGAACCCTTCCGCCGCGGTTGGCCGCTGCCCTGTGAAGCCCCAGCCTCGGTGACCAACTCTGGGCCGTCTAGCAGGCCCGCGAGGCGGCCGTCAGGCAAGGTCTTGACGTCCCCACGCGGGAGACCTAAGGTCCAGTCGGCGAAAGCTCTGCCGGACTTCCAAGCTCTGCCGGACTTCTTACCAACCGATCCAGCAAGCAGTAGTCGCGCCTTTGTCGCCTCTGCAGGAACGCTCCAACGAACGCTGCTGATATGCGCAGAGCGCATTGCATGTTGTTAGGAGCGGGACTCGAAGGCATCCCACCACTCCCACTAGTTGTTATGACCGGGGGCCCGACAGCATACCATCTCTGCTGCCAGTCGTTGCGGCTCGGGTCCGGTGGGTCTCGTCGTGGGTAGCTGGCCGCCGCCACCAGACCCGTTTAGCCCATCTTGCAGGTAGGAAGGTGCCTTCTTGGGGGAGAGGTATTTACCGGGGTTTATTTTACACTGTTTACAAGTGAGCGTTTCTCGCCACGTGACGGACATCTAGACGAAGATGTCGTCCTACATCGTGACGATCTCGTCGAAATCTCTACATCGAGAAGACATCAGCATGAAAAGCACTGTCTCGAACAGCACTGCAGCGAAAAGGCACACGAAGCAGCCCGCGATGGCTGATTTTAAACAGTCCTGTTTCCCCAGATTCTCGGGAAAGGGCACCAAATTACACTGTCCAATCGCAAGACGTTCACCACATTCGACGGGGCCAGCCGCACTAGCCCATGTCAGTGTCCTTGACTTGGGGAGGAGTCGGCACACTCATACTGTGGCTTAGAAGTGTGGCAGCTTGGGCTAGTTGGTATGGCATGACGATAGTTCTAGCGCGAGAACTCTGTGTCGTCGTTTTGTTCTCGCGCTGTAACTATCGTCATACTGTGGCACCACGGTGTCCCCTTGCTGGCGTGGCAAGGTCGCTGGGGTGATCGGTCCAGCGCTCAGGACAGCATACATCAAAAAGGCCGCCGCAAACAATTTCAAATAGGGTCCGAACTGCTCGCTCGATCAATCAGCGGGGCGATTCGCGACCGCCGTTCCTGTCGTTTCGAAGGCAGCTGCTGCACTTGTCGCCGTCTCCCGACGGCACGGCGCCTCGCTTGGACAATACATGGCGGACATTGTCTGCCAGCCGTTCGGCTACTTGTTTGAGGACCAAAAGAACGCCGTTCCGCCGTAAGCTAGGCGCCGTACTTAACAATGTGCACTTAGTTTCGATAAATCTGATCTTTGCGCTGCAGCGTGAGCTCTAGAAAGCCTGAGCTTTTTATGTAATCTGAAATGTCAGTTTAATAGTTACGCCTTGTGTGAGCTGACTATACAGTTGCGCCGCCAGTTTTTTTTCTAGGGGAGAAGGGTGGAGTGGAGGGGTATGTCATATTTTGTGTATGTTCGTGCTTGTATGTGTGCGTCTATATATGTGCGAGAAAATTGAAAAAAAAAATCGGTGATGGTTTTTTTTTTTCACCTACATATATTAGAATGCGGTTACAGTCGCCACACTTTATACCGTTACCTAACAATGAGAGTCACACCTAATGACCCTCATTTCGTTTGAAATATTATTCAACTGTATAAATTATTGTGTCCAGGCGAACGATTGTGAAGCACGACATACCATCCACTCAACGTGTTCGATATGTAACAGTAAAAATATACTTAATAAACAGTGGTTTTCAGGAGTCTTCAGCTCTGCGTGGATTGCATGTGTGTGCTTAAGTAGTGTTTGGGTCAAAGACATTAGTCTATTCCAGCGCTGATATCTCTTAACTTAAGAACTATCTTGCTTTGTATCAATGTGTCTGTACCGGCTATAAGGACACCATCTTTGGCCATTGTTTGATAATATACCATGTTGCATCGGATCAGAAACGTTCGACTTGATCCCTAAATCCGGCACATTTACCGAACATCATAAGGCTGCCTTCGAGAATCCCGGAGACAGCACCAAGACCACCGTCTTAATCGACGACTAAATTGACACAGGTGAGACTAGTAATTCCCATTTTCAGCATTTTGTAATGATTGAGTAGCACAAAACGCTTTTGTGGACATCACGCCTAGCAAGTCGCTTCGTGTATGCAGAAAAAAATTTTGTTCTGTAAGTAGTGTGCATATAACATCAATGTTATGTAACCCGTTTGTGGAATTTTATTTATTTATTTATTTATTTATTTCAACTTACTGCTGCCTTAAAGGCCTATCGCAGAAGTAGAGGCAGAAATCGGGGGACCCTTAAGCTTCGCCCTTCACAGGAGTTATGTTTGAGGCACGCCAAGAATGACCATCCTTCGCGTGCCCCAAACATAACTACAGGTGAACGCGACAGCGATATCCTGTCCATATGTAGTGCCTTCTGTAACATGCATGCTTTGAGCCATTAGCAATTATTTGCGTGAAATTTATGCGATCTTTCTGTCCACCCAGTACGTGGCTTTAAGGAAATGGGGCGCAGTAACGTGTAAGCGTTTGTCGGTGGCCGGCTTTAACCATGAAATCAATATGATAATCACATGTTCTGACGCCAGATGGCAATGTATGCTTCTGCTACGCATTATTACATCGATAATACACGAAGCGTGTGGTTGTAAATCATGAAAGTTACTCTCACTGTATTTCCAAGCTGAGCTGTGTGGCAGAACCGCGCCAACGACCCGCGGTCGATGCTCACTCGCACCCGCAAATTTTATTATTTATTTTATTTGCATCTTTCTCGATTGTTCGGTGACGCACAAGATTATTTTTCGCTCACAAGGAACGGCACCGACGCCTGCGCCGGAATTTCAGCGAAACGCGCTCTTTAACGGTATCGTGATAAAGTACAAAAATGATAACACAAATTGTAAACAAAACAACATTGAGTCCAATGGATGTACAAAATCAATTGATTAAGTGGTACAGACTTAACATAACCGGGTCAAGTATTCCGTATGCCAATAGTGCGGACAAAATAACCTTATTTGTAGGCATATATACGGGGAAAGGAGACATGTTCAGGTCACGATAAGTTGTGGCGGGCGTTCGTGTAGAAAAGTGATGTTGCTGAGTGAAAAAAAAAAATCGTGATCAGTGATCGGAAGCGTAACGAAAGATCAAATATTCAACGTGACAACGAGAAGGGAGTAAGCTGAAGGCTATGAAGATAAGAACTAGGTGAAAAATACTTGTCGTAGCTACGATAAATAAAGCGTACTACTTTCTTCTTGACCGATTCGATTCTTTAAGTGTCGGGTATTCTTTATGTCTTGCATCACAGAGGTGCTAGCCTTGCTTGCAGCGAGAACGTAAAATCTAAAAGCTAGCCCCGCCGCGGTGGTCTAGTGGCTAAGGTACTCGGCTACTGACCCGCAGGGCGCGGGTTCGAATCCCGGCTGCGGCGGCTGCATTTCCGATGGAGGCGGAAATGTTGTAGGCCCGTGTGCTCAGATTTGGGTGTACGTTTAAGAACCCCAGGTGGTCTAAATTTCCGGAGCCCTCCACTACGGCGTCTCTCATAATCATATAGTGGTTTTGGGACGTTAAACCCCACATATCAATCAAATCTAAAAGCTACGAAAAGCTACCTACCTATTAGTTTCGTAAACGGAAAAATATCTTTCCAGACCTCTGTATCTGAAGTTACGCATTGGTTGCGTAACTTCAGAGATTTATTTTTGCTCGAGTTTCTACAGGGCATAATACCAAATTCTTCCCCACAGATTATTCGATATGTAGGCGTACGTCATCGTGGCTCTCCTACGTACCTACCTACCTACCTACGTACCTACGTACTTACCTACCTCCGCACGTACGTACCTACCTACCTGCCTCCGTACGTACCTACGTACCTACGTACCTACGTACCTACCTACCTACCTTCCTCAAGGCGGCAACTGCCCATGGCGCACTGGACTGAGGTCAGCCAGCACTGCTAATTGGACTCGTGGAACAAGCTGGCTCCGTAACACAAACACCTTTTGTGTATAAATATTTCTTTCCTACAAAATCTGAACGCCTACGTGAAAAGGGAGCATTGTGTCAAGAGAAACAAAAAAAGAGGGAAGAAACAAAATAAATATTGAAAGGAAGAAAGAAAAAGGGATATAGGACGAAATAAAAACGACATAAAGAAATAAAGATGGAAGCAAATAAAAAGGAAGCAAAAACAGCTAGCTTGGAAAAAAAAAGAGCGATATGAAGAAATAAAGAGAGAAAGAAAGAAAGAAAGAAAGAAAGAAAGAAAGAAAGAAAGAAAGAAAGAAAGAAAGAAAGAAAGAAAGAAAGAAAGGAAACTAAGCAGTATGTCCGGCCAGCGCCTCCTCTGCTGGTCCGGCACGTCCACGTCATGCCTCACCGCCTCACTTAACCCAATTTAGCCGATAGGTCGGGAGGGCACGTTATTTTGCGTATCAATGAACTTCTTATGCTTCAGAAGAATGCATATTCACCGGCTATTGTTTAACGGTATCTTTTGCTGAATCGCATAAAAGGGTCAAAAACCTTCCATTCGCTCGCAGCTATAAAAATCCAGACCATTTCCTGTACTTCATTAAATCAGCCGTCCAGTTCTCAAGGTGAAGACAAAACCAACCCGACCGTTTTCGTCGTCATTTACCTTGTGACATACCCTTAGGTGAGCAAAATCTTTTCTGTCTATATTGTTACCTTGCGACTAAGTAACACTGAAATGCCAATGTAGGCAACAAGCCGGGAAAATCGCTTCATGCACTGACGAAAAAAAAAATCAGCCGTTAAGCTCATTACAGTTGCTGTGTTATTGGCGCACACGTTCTAAACACTGTCATTCAAACCAATACTCGAATGTCATGCCGTTCTTGTCTTACGGAGTTGCTGCATTGCTTACATCAAGACCATCGAATGTATAGCAAGGCTAGAAAAAGTGCAAAACATTTATGAATTAGAGATTTTGGTGTGGTTCATCGCGAAAAAAACAGTTTTTACTAATCTAGAAAATAAACAACTAAAGAAAGGGTGACCGATAAGTCTTTTTAGATGAATCACCAGACTAATTGAGTATGAACTACTCATTCCAAGAAAAAAAAACATCGAATAGTGTGACGCATATCCTTTTCTTTTCACATGATTGACATGACATTCTTCATCACAGATCATTCGCCATGAAGTCCTGCGCCATCTTGGCTCTCCTCATCCTGGGGCATTTGTGTGGTAAGTAAAAACATTGATCTTGGCTCATATTCTTCTTCATTAGACTTATTAACGTCTTTGTTGCCCTTCACTTGATTGGCTGTTCTATATCCGCTGCAAGTTTAGAGTTTTGCCTTTGTTTCCGCATAGCTTATTAAATGCATGCGCTAGTGTTAGATAAGCCCAAGTAGTAAGATAATATTTGGCGTCAAATTGAGTGGCTTATAATTCGATGCTCATAAAGTTGTTGTATAAGCCCGGATAACTTTTGTACTGCCGCCTATTTCATTTCAGAAGTTCATTTTGTTGGTTCCCTTGCACTGATAATAATCAGACTATCTAGCTCGAGCAAAGTACAGTGCGCTATTTTACGCCAGAATTTTGTGTAGCCGTGCATTAATTTTATTGATACAACGTCGTTGTTGAGGCATAAAACGCGTGTCTGTAACAATAGCCGTTCTGACATGCTATTTATTTATGCAATATTATTTGACCACCTTGCACGCATTGATCTGAATGCAAGCCTAATTCATGCGTTTTTCATTCTTTCTCTCACTTCGTGGAACAGAAATTCAAGCAGCCACGTTGAGCAAGCCAGCAATGAGCACGGACGATGCGAAGAAACTCCTCATCGAGAAACTTTCCCGTTCCATCATGGAACACCGTGAAGAACTGCTCGATGCTCTTCAGGCAACGAAGAGCACTGGCGACGGAACCGACGAGCAGATACTTCCAGCCCTACTTGTGCCCTTAATTACGGCCATTGCCGGAGGCGCGATATCCGGAGCTGTTGGAGCTGGTGTGGCGGTAGCAGTCCAGAAAGGCTGAATCTATCTTCCATGGCATTATTTTCAGAACAATAAATTATTATACAACTACAGTCTATAGAAGTGACCTGCATAGATTCATCATCATCATCATCAGTCTGACTACGTCCACTGCAGGACAAAGGCCTCTCCCATGTTCCGCCAGTTTACCCGGTCCTGTGCTTGCTGCTGCCGATTTATACCCGCAAAATTCTTAATCTCATCTGCCCACCTAACCTTTTGTCTCCCCCTAACCCGCTTCCTTTCTCTGGGAATCCAGTTAGTTACCCTTAATGACCAGCGGTTATCCTGTCTACGCGCTACATGCCCGGCCCATTTCCATTTCCTCTTCTTTATTTCAACTATGATATCCTTAACTATGATATCCCGTTTGTCCCCTAATCCACTCTGCTCTCTTCTTGTCTCTTAAGGTTACACCTACCATTTTTCTTTCCATTGCTCGCTGCGTCGTCCTCAATTTAAGCTGAACCCTCTTTGTAAGTCTCCAGGTTTCTGCTCCGTAGCTAAGTACCGGCAAGATACAGCTCTTATATACCTTCCTCTTGAGGGATAGTGGCAATCTACCTGTCATAATTTGAGAGTGCTTGCCGAATGTGCTCCACCCCATTCTTATTTTTCTAGTTACTTCAATCTCGTGGTTGCCCCGCCGCGGTGGTCTACTGGCGAAGGTACTCGGCTGCTGACCCGCAGGGCGCGGGTTCGAATCCCGGCTGCGGCGGCTGCATTTCCGATGGAGGCGGAAATGTTGTAGGCCCGTGTACTCAGATTTGGGTGCACGTTAAAGAACCCCAGGTGGTCTAAATTTCCGGAGCCCTCCACTACGGCGTCTCTCATAATCATATAGTGGTTTTGGGACGTTAAACCCCACAGATCAATCAATCAATCTCGTGGTTAGGCTCTGCGGTTATTACCTGCCCTAAGCAGACATAGTCTTTTACAATTTGAAGTGCACTATTACCTATCTCGAAGCGCTGCTCTTTTCCGAGGTTGTTGTACATTACTTTCGTTTTCTGCAGAATAATTTTAAGACCCACCTTTCTGCTCTCCTTGTCTAACTCCGTAATCATGAATTGCAATTCGTCCCCTGAGTTACTGAGCAATGCAATGTCATCGGCGAAGCGCAAGTTACTAAGGTATTCTCCATTAACACTTATCCCTAACTGTTCCCATTCTAGGCTTCTAAAAACCTGCTGTAAGCACGCAGTAAATAGCACCTCCAACATGCATACGTCAAATGACCTGCATAGATTACTACGAACCAAACTCTCACTTGCATACATAAAACGTTTTGCCACAGTCAATCATTTGTGATTTATAATGGGAAGCAAGGTTGACACCCAAAAGGATGCTCTCACTTTATCAACCAGACAAACAAGTACAAAAAAATGTTTCCCTGTTTGAAATTTCGAGTATGTGGATTTCACTGGACAGTGGTAGCATATGCTGTGAAGCATTTTATCGCACCGCATGGTGGCACATTCATTAGGGCTGCTGACATGAATGTTGCGGGGTCCAAACCGGCCACAGTGGTCTTATTTTGAAGGGGGCTATATAGAAGCCCTTGTACTTAAACTTAGGTGCACGTGAAAGAACCCCAAGCGGACAAAACTGTCCGCAGTCCTCTTCTACGATGCGCCTCGTAATCAACATGTAGTTTTTGGCCAGGTAAAACACCAGCGATTATTATCATTAACGCTCTACCCCGGACCTATAGCCGGCAGTAGTTTTTTTTTTATGAACTCCCAATATAAGTGCCGCAGTATTTTATATGATGTTTAGCAAATGGTGGCTCTTTTATACATCGCCAGGTACACCTTGTAACAAATAATATTAGAAAAAGTGGCATTCATGGTAAAATATTTCGTAAAGTTGCATGTAGATACAGTTTGAATAATTCCACGTAGCGACACTGAAGGTGACACAAAATGATTTCCAGGCGCATTACAATGGAGTTCAAACGAACTTCAGTCAAATGGACACCGATTTTTTAACAAATGAGCCTACATGTAAAAACCGTCACTACAACAGAAATAAAAATTGGCATGACCTTCCGATACGAGGACACAGAATAACTTTACACATGTACAAAGGTACGCTTAATGCAAGATGGTCAAATTACATACACATTCAAGAGCGGTCGCTATAGTAAATGGTTTACTCAATAATTTACGACAATATTTATCGCTTTGAGAAACTTGTTAAATGCCAATATATGTGTGTTTGATAATGTATTATTTGTGTACGCGGTACCTAGCCGGTGGTAATGTTACCATTGCGATTTGAAAATGCAGGCGACTCACTGAACTTTGCTGCACCAGCGTCACCTCCTCTCCCTTTGGGCCCTGAGTGATGCCCTGTGGGGGCAGTGCTTAATTTCCAATGCTCTGCCTTTCAAATCCAACTGCTCTCGCTCGGTTGAAATGACGTCTAGAATGAATGAATGAATGAATGAATGAATGAATGAATGAATGAATGAATGAATGAATGAATGAATGTAAACAACTTGTAATAGGTCCAGCAGGACGCAACAAATTCGTGTTCCCGGCTTAGCCGCCTAGTCGGGGCAAATAGGCTCAGCTTATCCCCAACATTTCAGTCGCAAGCGTGCGACAGATGATTGATCGTTGTCTTTGTTCGTAGTATAGAAGGCACACCAATAAAAGAGGTCGTGGCCTAATCTACGTGGCCACAAATGCACCTTGGACTCTCCTTAGGAGAAACGTTGTGCAAAAAGTTGGCCCCGTATCTACATGTAGTCTGCAAATGTCATCGAAAGACGATAGTCTTGCGTGTGGAGAGATTGAGTGAACAAAACATTTGTTTGATGCTCTGCGCAAGAAAATCGGCGAATGGTATTCCGGAAGCGCCCGGTTAGAGTGCCTCGAACGTGCAGCGGAGGCAAACGAGTGCATCAAGTCACGTCACACGTGATACGTGAGCGCCATCTGGCAGTCTCTTTTGGAAAACAAAGCGCCTGGCCGTGGCCTCCGCGATTTGCTGCCGGCGAACAGCGCGCCGCCGGCAGCCGATCGCGGAGGCCACGGCCTGGCCGTGCGCGCCCGTCTCAGATGTGATAAGGTGTAGAACGCGAGGCGACGGGTAGGTGCCACCACCGTCTCGTCTTAGCAAAGCGTTGGAAACACTCCCCGTTCCGTGCAAGCGTTGCATGGGAAGCGCAGCGTGATAAGCGCTACGGTCCCTAAAATTACTTATGTATGCGTTTTCTAGTAACAGATGCATATTCAGGATATATACGTGTTCTTATTGTGCCCCAGACCTACGCAATAATTGCTTTTTAATTGACAATTGCACAAGCATGAACGCTCGAACTTGAGCAACATTGGTGGTCGCTGCAGATGGGGTCGGCCGTTTCAAGTACCCGATGCTAGTAAGAGTGGACAAACAGACATATGTACAGACAAGACAGGACAGACCAAAATTTTTGCGTCGAAGGTCCCCAAGAAAGACTATCGTCTTTAAAAGTTATTTGCGTACGCGGTACCAGCCGGTGGCAATGTTACCATTATGATTTGAAAATCCGGCGACTCCCCCCGCTACGGTGGTCTAGTGGCTAAGGTACTCGGCTGCTGACCCGCAGGTCACGGGAATCGAACCCCTGCTGTGGCGGCTGCATTTCCTGATGGAGGCGGAAATGTTGTAGGCCCGTGTACTCAGATTTGGGTGCAAGTTAAAGAACCCCAGGTGGTCGAAATTTCCGGAGCCCTCTACTACGGCGTCTCTCAATCATATGGTAGTTTTGGGACGTTAAACCCCACAAATCAATCAAATCCGGCGACTCACTGAACTTTTCTGCACCAGAGTCACCTCTCCCTTTGGGACCTGAGTGATGCCCTGTATAGGGGCAGTGCTAACTTTTCAACGCTCTGCCTTTCAAAGCTAACTGCTCTCGCTCGGTTGTAAATGACGTCATTAATGAATGAATGAATGAAAACAACTTGTAATAGCTCCAGCAGGACGCAACAAATTCGTGTTCCCGTCATTAGCCGCCTAGTCGGGGCAAATAGGCCTCAGCTTATCCGCAACCGCGTGGGCCCGCCGGCTGACCTGAGGTAGTTGTGGACCGCTTTCCCTGTCTCCTTTTTCTGTGGCCTTCAAGTTCCTCATTATGGGCTCGTAAAAGTCGACATCGAAGCCTCCTTCAAAGTCACAGCCCAACTACCACTCCCATCGTGCTGAGGTTGTCGAAAACGCAAACACTGCTTTGAGCCCGCCTACACTCTTCAAGCCTATCTTGTGGAAGCACCGCATCTTTGGAATGAATGTTGCCGGCTACGCATAGGCACCTAACTGAGCCACTAAATGACGCCGGTTTCCAAGCGGAGTATTTTGTCTATCTACCTCTCTGACCAAGTAAATAATTCTACTATATGCACCTCACATCCGGAGTGAATGATGTGTGATGGTGCGAAAGACACTTGCAACTGGTAATGTCCATCGGTTTACATCAGCATTAGATAACGTATTTGGGTCAATCTTATCAGTTTTTCTGTTCGTTTCAATGCAAGCATTCTTCAAAATCAGCAACCATCTTGCGGAGCTCGTGTGCGTTTCGTGGTTCCCATGTGCATCCCACCAAATGGTACCACTTGTGAAACTGCCACGCGCAATAACAGATTACAAAAACGCATCGGCGCGATCGCTGCCTTATGTTAGGAATTCGGGTTTGTTGCGATGGTAGCGGTGGCGAAGAGCGGCGAGCAGTCGAACGGACTTCGCTGAAGCCTTCGCCCGGAAGCGAAATATGGAGGCAATCGGTTTGGAAAACAGCAACAAGAAGGAGCAGGTTGTCGTTTGTACAGAGCCGGCCAGCACGACGATGTCGGCTGGGCCAAATCCCTCTAAACATGGCACCGGCACGGCCTTAAATAACGTTTTGAACTCTTCAGCGAGACCAGTTCCCCGGTGCCTGGCGGAGAAGGTGAAGCTTTCCCGGAACTGCACGGTGGCTCGGCGCCGTCTGCGTAGAAGGTGGCGCTGGGAGCGGGGGGGGGGGGGGAGACAGTTTCGCCGGAACAGCACTTGATCTCGTGAGAAGAAACGCTCTCGAACGAATGACCATGTCTGTGGCACAACACTTCAGAGAGCATCGATAACTGAGCTCGAGCTGCCGGGTTGGCAAGTCCCGCACGTATGAGCGTGCCACTGATGATAAAAACCATGACCCCCAAGTGTTGCAGTTCTTCCCGCTATAGAAAAAATCAATGTAATGGTAAAAATGTAGATGGTTCCCAAGAGGTCGTATATCTATGCAGCAGTATATCCATAAAATGCACCAAACAGAAGGTCCCGCACAAAGGCCATGGTGCTTGAGAAACTCGCACTGATCCACACTAACATAAACCTTCCGTGTTATACCCGGTCCCCCCTCCCCCTTTTTTCTTTGACTAAGACAGCATGGAACAGCGCCAGAAGTTCCTTCCATCGTTAGCTTTGTTCATACGATGTTCTTGACGACCGGGCACGCAATGCGGCGATCGCCTATGGCGCCTTGAACGGAAGGCAGCCAGCACTGCTAGATGGGACTTGCGGGTGAAGCTGGTCCCGCACCACAAACATCTTTCTGTGAAAAAATCATTTTCTTTCCTGTAGAATCTGAACACCTGCGACCAGATGGGAAATTTTGTTATGAGAAGAAAGAAAAGAGGTGAAGAAAGGAAAGAGGGAAGTAAATAAATAAAGGAGTGATTGAAAGAAGCAAAGAAAAGCGGTATGTCCAGCACGTCCACGCTATACTTGCCCCCATTTACCCGGTAGGTCGGGAGGGCACCTGAGATTTCGTATCATTGAACTTCTCACAATTAGAGAGAATGCATGCTCACCGGCTATTGTTTAAAGTTATCTTTTGCTGAATTGCAAAAAAAAACAGCAAAAAAAAACTTCCATTTGCTCGCAGCTATAAAAATCCAGCCCATTCCCTGCACTTCATCAAAGCAGCTTTCGAGTTCTCAGGGTGAAGATCAAATCAAGCCGACGATTTTCGTCACCGATTTCCTTACGACATACTCTTAGGTAAGCAAAGTTTTTTCTGTCTATATTGTTACCTTGCAACTAAGTAACACTTAAATGCTAATATAGAGACCTAGTCGGAATAATTGCTTTACGCTCTGACGGAACAAAAAAGTTTAGTTGCCAATATCAATGCTGTTGGTGTGCTGGTGGCATGTACGTTGTAAACACTGCCATTCAAACCAATAGTCGAATGTCATGTCGTTCTTGTTTTATGAAATTGCTCCATTGCTTACAATAAGACCATCGAATGTATAGCAAGGCTAGAGCGAAAAGCTTTATGAATGAGAGATTTTGGTGCAGTACATCGCGAAACACAATGTGTTTTCTAATCTAGAAAAATACCTAAAGAAGATGGGACCGATAAGTCTTTCTACGTGAATCACCAGACTGATTGAGCATGATTTACTGATTGCAAGAAAAAAAACGTTGAAACGTGTGGCACATTTATTTTTTCACCTGATTGCCATGACGTTCTTCATCACAGATCGTTAATTCCCCATGAAGTCCTACGTCATCTTGGCTCTCCTCATCCTGGGGCATTTGTGCCGTAAGTACAATACTTGATTTTGGCTCATCTTCGTTAGACATACCAACGTTTTTAGATACTGCCAATATCTAAAAACGGTGGACATATTAACGTCTTCTCTGCCTTTCACTTGATTTTCTGTTCTAAATCCGCGGCAGGTTTCGTAATTTGCCTTTGTTTCTGTATAGCTTATTAAAGCCATGCGGCAGTGTGAGGTAAGCCCAAGTGGTAAGACAATAATTGGCGTCAAATTGAGTGGCTTATAATTCGATGCTCACAAAATTGTAATATAAGTCCGGATAACGTTTGTACGGCCGTCTATTTCATTTCAGAAGTTCCGTTTTGTAGAAGCGCATCGTTTTCTTTGTTGATCCTCTGCACTGTTATATAATCAGACTATCTAGCTCGAGCAAAGTACAGTGCGCTATTTTACGCCAGAATTTTGTATAGCCGTGTATTAATTTTCTTGATACAACGTCGTTATTGAGGCATAAAATGCGTGTCTGTAACAATAGCCGTTCAGACATGCTATTTATTTATGCAATATTATTTGACCACCTTCCACGCATTGATTTGAATGCAAGCCTAATTCATGCATTTTTCATTCTTTCTCTCACTTCGCGGAACAGAAATTCAAGCAGCCACGTTGAGCAAGCCAGCAATGAGCACGGACGATGCCAAGAAACTCCTCATCGAGAAACTTTCCCGTTCCATCATGGAACACCGTGAAGAACTGCTGGAGGCTCTTCAGGGAATCAACAGCACAGGCGACAGAACCGACGAGCAGATCCCTGGTGTCCTGCTTGCCTTACTTGTGGCCATTGCCGGAGGCGTTGTATCCGGAGCTGTTGAAGCTGGTGTAGCGGTAGCAGTTTCGAAAGGCTGAATCTATCTTCCATGGCATTATTTTCAGAACAATAAATTATTATACAACTACAGTCTATAGAAGTGACCTGCATAAATTACTATGAACCAAACTGTTACTTGCATACATAAAACGTTTTGCCACAGTCAATCATTTGTGATTTACAATGGGAAGCAAGGTTGACACCCAAAAGGATGCTTTCACTTTATCAACCAGACAAGCAAGTACAAAAAAATGTTTCCCTGTTTGAAACTTCGAGTATGCGGATTTCACTGGACAGTGGTAGCATATGCTGTGAAGCATTTTATCGCACCGCACGGTGGCACATTCATTAGGGCTGCTGACACGAATGTTGCGGGGTCCAATCCGGCCACAGTGGTCTTATTTTGAAGGGGGCTATATAGGGGCCCTTGTACTTAAACTTAGGTGCACGTGAAAGAAGCCCAGGCGGACCAAATTGTCCACAGTCCTCCTCTACGATGCGCCTTGTAATCAAAATGTGTTTTTGGCCAGTGAAACCCCAGCGATTATTATCATTAAAGAGGAAACCGCATAAGCGCGAAAATGCACGCGACAGCGACGAGCGATGCGACGAAACAGGGCGTTCGCGCGACGTGTCGCGTGCTCGTTTTCGCACGATCGCTCGGTTCTCCAGATTTGGAAATCGTCGCTCATCGCCCGGAAGTGCTGCACTCAAGCAGCCAATAGCGAAAAACCGGAAAAGACAAAACCTACGTAGGTGCTCGTGACCCTGCCCGAGTCACGTGTGCCCAACAAGAAATAACGCAAAGTTTACGCATGTGCATATAAAAAGTGCTGCAAGGCAATAATAAACACTTTCCGTTTCATTACACAACAATATATTTTATTTTTATATTGCATACCGTTCACTACGCGGTTTTGTTGGTGCGAGTAGACGGCCTGATGCCAGCAACAGTGGAGTTCGCTCGCCGAAGCTGTCGCGTGAATTAGGTTTGCCTGCGCTAGCGACTGATCGCGCGAAGACGATCTACGTCGCGTCGCTCGTCGCTGTCGCGTGCATTTTCGCGTTTATGAGGTTTGGCCCTAACGCTCTACGCCAGACCTATAGCCGGCAGTAGTTTTTTTTTACGAACTCCCAATAAAAGTGTTGCAGTATTTTATATGGCGTTTAGCAAATGGTGTCTCTATTATGTATCGCCAGGTACACCTTGTAACAAATAATATTAGAAAAAATGCTTCCATGGTGAAATATTTCGTAAAGTTCCGTGTAGATTCAGTTTGAATAATTCAGTGAAGCCAAAAAAAAAAACAGAAAGAAAGATAATGAATTCAATTCACGTAGCGACACTGAAGATGACAAAAAATGATTTCCAGGCAGGAGGACGCTAGGTGGCGCCGACAAGAAGTGCCATGTCCGCAAGTGCTCCGTGAATTTTCCGGCTACATTGTAGAAATTTATGTGGGCGGCCAATGTCGACTATTGCCATGGCTTCTTGAAGTTTTTCCGCGTCGACTGACACCAACCACAGCTCTAAGTGACAGGAACTTTTTATTTTAGAAGCCCAAACGCACCTGCCTATCGTGCGAGCTCGCCAACGCCATCGCCGCCATGTAGGCGGCTGCAGGAACGCTACCGTGCGCGTGTCGCGCGTACACGATGGCTCTCGCGAATGAACCCTCAGATGCTATTGCGCGTCCCGGACCCTCGCGGATGACGGACACGCGACGCCAAGAGCTTGATATAATGCATTTTCAAGACTCTACAGCTAAGAGCCTCTCAACGCCAAATGAAACCAACGATGAGAACGCCGAGACCGACAGCCAAAACCAAGCGGATGGAGCCTGGCAAACGGTGCTCACTCTGCGGCGGAAGAAGGCCAAGTCCACGAATTTTTCGACGACCTCGTACCACCAACAATTATCCACTGCTGAAGCAAACAGAAAATCTAAATACAGGCCTGCCCACAGGCGGCTACCCCCTGTTAAGGTTGAAAGGAGGAAGTTGCTGATGGCATCCCACCGCTGCCACCAGTTGTTGCGAATGGGGGTTTACCCGGTCTCCTGTGGTAGCGTGGTGTAACCGCAGGTGGAGGAACTGAACGCTGACAAGAAGAGGATACGAAAACAAACAGGTTTATGGCATTATTTACACGTATTTACAGCAAAGAAGGGTTAGTGGTTCCACAAACCACGAGCGTGGTGGTTGAACCTTTACATGGTTCAGAGCGACGTTCAGCACTCTGCGGCGTCGTTTTAAGCCTTGTTGGGCTCCTCCTCTTTGAGTGGAACACCAATCACACACACACACACACACATCAGGTGAGGGGGACAAGCATGCACGGTCCACGTGAACGTCTAATATTGAGTCGTGATCACTGCACTGCAAGGTGGCGCCAGCGGGGCTCTTCCTCGTCGTGTGATTGCCGCTAGTCGAGAGGTACCAAGCTCCTGACAGCATACATCAAAGGGTCCGCCGCACAGCTCGCCTAATTAGCGGGGTGATTTGCGGTCGCCGCCGCGGTCTCTTCCAAGGAAGATATTGTCTTTGTTGTCCTCTCTCGAACGGTTAACGGCGTCGTGGCGACACGACGTCTCACCCTCGGGCTAGGACAATGCCTGGCGAGCATAGGCAGCCCGCCGGTCGGCTACGTGATTGAGAATAAAAAGAGCGCGGCTCCCCCGTCAGCTCTGGCGCCGGTCACAACAGCTTCCCCATCGTCAGATGAGTCGCCGAGGGCATCAGTCACCACTTCTGCTCGAAGAGACGACGAAAGGGTCCGCATTTGAAAGTCGGGAACTCGCCTTTGCTTGCCACATTGTCTGGGTAACTGCTCAAATCTTCGACAGCGTCTGGCAGACTAGGCGCCGAAGGGATTGAGAGCCTCCCCAGTAGACCGGCTTACGCACAATGGCGTCGGCCCAGACGAATTTTCGGGCCAAACTTAACACCCCCTTGCCTAAAGACGACTTCAAGATAGTGGTGCGACCACACCAAGGGCTACCGGTCAAGTCCCTGACTAGTCCACTACTGGCAGACGCCGTGACAGAAGCTTGCAGCGGACAAATATCTAGTGAGGCAATTTTCGCTCAGAATCAAGCGAGGTTCAACATCTTCATTATCTTCATTGTTTCGACGCCGCACCAGACAGTGGCGGACCACGTGGGGCATATTTCCACCCTAAAGATCAACGGCCGGCCACACTCAGTCAACGTAGCGACAACCGAAGGGACAACTAAGGGTGTCATTCACGTCTTAGACTCCCCACACGACGCCTTAAGCGCTAAAAGCCAATATCCGCATACGCACCCAAGGGGTCGAAATTCTGCAAGCACGGATGTTTAAATACACCAAGACGGCCGTTATAACATTTTATGAAGGGATTACACCTCGTTACGTCTATTACAATGGCGGAGAACTTGCTTACCACCCCTACAAGGTTACCTACCCAGGTGTGCAAAGTGTGCCATCAGGTTGGTCACCGTTCGGACGTTTGCCCCTTGCCGATACTCAAGTGTGTCGCGTTTGTGGACAACGGCACCCTGCAACCGGACATGAGTACTCTCCGAAGTATGCAGCTTGTGGCGAGGGTCATTGGACAGGTGACCGAAGTTGCAGAAAACGACTCAAATCTCCGAAGAAAAGAACCTCAAGGGCTAGGGTGCACCAGCTTACTCTGAATGACACCTCCCCCAAAGCCACCTCAACGCCCCCGCTGGTTCAGTTCTGATGATTAACAATCTGCCCTGGACCACTGTCCGGAGTCGCCAGAGACTCGCCCAAGGTCCCGCTCTAGAAACAGATCTAGATCGAGATCCCAGACCCGGAAGGACTCTACTCACAAGACCCCACCCCATTTTCACTCACACGTCACCTAAATTCGGGGCTCCAGGCTCAGCGATCAAGCAAGCGAACGAACATGGCGAGGCGAGCTATGCACGACTTGCTTTTCCCGCTGCTGCTATAACGGCTAATCCAGAATATAAAAAAATTATTAGCGAGAACAAACTCCTCCGTGAGAGCTTGGCAGGAATAAAACGAGAGTTGGCCTCCCTCAAAGCTAACCGCGGTATGGAATCGAGCCAAAAAACACTTTCTAAAGCAACCGGCACCTCTGGCCAGGTTAGGATCGAGTCTAATTCTATGGAAGGTACATTAAAACAAGTAATTCAGCAACTGCAAAGCATGCAAAGCTTTCAGCAGCAAATGTTTGCCGAAATCCAGAACCTAAAAAGTTATGTCGATGAATCTATTGCCAACATAAGGGCTGCTGTTGCCTAAAAGCAGCCCTAAAAGCAGCCCGGGTGCTCCGTCTATCGGTCGTCCGAAGCAACTCCCAACCTTGGACAGCGATAGCACTATCCATGGCGAGTAAAACACGAGCTCACACCGAATATCTCGAAATTTGGCAATGGAATTGCCGCTCTACAACAATTTCTTAATACGGCGCCAGTCAAACCTGATGTCATTTGTCTACAAGAGGTTGGCAATAAGCCAGTCAAATTGAGTGGCTACTACACGATATCAAATCCAGACTACCCTAAAGTCGCGACATTGGTTCTTAAGGAAATAGCGACTAGTATAGATTATCTGGTAACTAGCAGCATTAACCACCAAATATTAAGTATACTACCGCACGAACGTAGCAAAGCCATAACCACAATTACGAACGTATATAGCTCCCCTAAGGAAAAGAGGGCCGATTTTGACGCACTCATTCGGTATGCCAAGAGTAATTCCAGCATCCAGGATCGACTACTGCTTCTCGGGACTTTAATGCCCCTCACACTACCTGGGGGTACCGAAAAGATACCCCGAAAGGCCGGGAACTCGAGCGAGTTGTTGATGCGCATGGGCTCCAACTTCTTCTACTCCCGCAACACCCGACAAGATTGGGTAACAGCGTCAGCGCAGACACATTTCCTGATCTTACATTCATAAATAATGTTGACGAGGTGTTCTGGAGCAACTTAGAAGAAAATCTCGGCAGTGACCATTATATTTTGAGCGTGTCGATTGTCTCCCCCAAAATTCGGCAGTCTCATGGCCATGTTGTATTAACAGATTGGGTAACTTATCGTGAAGTCCCACTGCCCAA